GGGGGGGGGGGGGGGGGGGGGGGGGGGGGGGGGGGGGGGGGGGGGGGGGGGGGGGGGGGGGGGGGGGGGGGGAGCGCCGCAGGATGCATGTTGTCTATCGCAGCGATTGCGGTGATGTAACGTGTGTGATGTATTTCTGGAACAGAGCGTTGCGGGAGTAAAACATTTTTCACAGACAAACGACCTCTTAGTTACGCTTGTGTTCCCCCCACAGTGTTTATTTTTCGATTAGGGTCCTCCACGGCGATGTGGGCGGTGACTCAGGTTTTCTGGAGCCGTAGTTTTGGTTCTGGGGCTGCAGGACTATTTGTCTACACCTGTTAAAATGACTTGTTATCATTTCGTAGTTGTCTCAATATAGTCTAGGAAGTGTCGTGATGGTGCGGCTAAGCTTAAGCTTTTTCGTTTCTTCCGGGGGTGGAAGGGTTTGTTTTACATGGTGTCGTCGGCGCTATTACGACTTTTTGAGCTCCAGGAGCAGACATCCGTCCGCGAGGGGGTCGCTGATGTTGTAACCGTAGTTCAGAACAGCTCAATCCGTAGGTAGGTGTTGTTCGTGATGATTCGACTCAGTTTCGGCATGCATGCGTCATGTTTGCTACGATCTTCTTGCCGTGGCCTGATTTGTTCGGCTCTTCCAGCAATGATACATGGGTCGCCCGTGTGGGATCTCTTGCGCCTCTCTCTATGCTATTTTTTGCACGTCCATGACGAGATCACGCCAGTTGCGTGTGTACATGCCGCTGTGCTACCAGAGAGAAACTCACGCCTGGTGAACGTTCTCGCAGAGCCGAGTGCATGGCGTAGTGCTATGTGCCAACGTCAACCCATGTAGAAGAGTCATGTTCGTTCTTCAAACCGCCGGCTTGTGGCTACCCCGGTAGACTGACTGTCGCTTCTGCGACGGTCAAGTGCTTCGAGGGGAAGCACGGCCTTCCCTCTCTCGCAGCTATTTACCTCCGCCATCAAACAGTTCGTTCTTCAAAACATCCACCAAACGCTTTTCTGTTTGCCTGCCCAGCAAACGCCGAAACAACCAGGGCTGTTCCCAACAAGTTGCCCGTCATCGGGCGAAGCCACTCTGCATCACAACGAACCCCAAAATCCATGATTACACTCGGACTAGCCAACACAGAACAACACTGAGCTCCGCGAGTAACTCAACAAAACCCCGGTGAAGCCAACATAGCGCATCATCGACTTGGTCTAACTTCGCCTCCCTCGTCACCGCTCCCTCCTTCCCCACCCCCGGCATCATCATCTGCAGCCGACGAAAACCTCGCGTCGCCGGATATCCCCTCGCAGCCTTTCGGCGTGAACCAAACCAGCGAGTATCTCTCGCCGGAGAAGGGCCTCGTCCAGTGCCTCTGCGTCCACCCGTTGAACTCCAGCGGGCGGTACCGGATGTCCGCCTCCTCCCCTTCCACCACCAGCTCCCCGCGGACGTAGTCACCTAGCCCGACGATCAGGCTCCTGCTCTGACCGGCCCCACTCCCGCTGTCCACATGCGGCTTGAACCTGGCATTCCTGTTGACGGCGATCGTGGTTGACGGGGGTCGTTCGGGAAGCAAGGCCGCCTCTAGCTCGAACGCCGCTCTCGCAAGCTCCGTGAACAGGCGGTTGCAGCGCGGGGGTGGGCAGGGCGGCGGGAAGGCGCCGAGGGTGAATGACCCAGACCCGCCGCCGCGTTGCCGATCTTCCTGCTCTTGTTGCCCGTCGGGTTTCGTTGCCGTGGAGGCTTTCTCCTCGCCAACGGTTCTCGCCATCGCCGGTGGTGCTTCCTCTGCTGGTGCCGTGTTGTCGGAACCACAGCCGTTTTCGCAGCCCGCCAAATCAGTCTGCTTGCTGCGCCCAGTACTGGAGCACACCTCGTCTGCTCTGTCGCCCCTCTCCCCGAAGATGACCAAGCTTCGCGATGCCGTGCTCGTGGGCCACTGCCCCGAGGCGCTGGCTTCTCTCAGCAGGCCCAAAACCTTGGCGTAGAGAGCGGGCGCCTCCTCGAGCGACGAGAGCTCCTCGGCGGACAACGGCGTCCCGTCCGCGCTTGCGCCCCTGCGCGACTCGTCTCTCGGGCCGCTCCTCCCTCGACAACCGTCCTCCTCCCCCCTACCTTCACTACTTTTATCCTCCTCCAGGCCCCCTGCTCGTATGTCGGAGGCCTGGACTTCCCGCCCAAGCTTGACGGCGCCCGGCTGGAGAACGTCCCTCAGCCAGCCCACCCCGCCGCCCCGCTCCTCCCACCACCTCGCCGCGCTGTCGAGGACCTGGCGCCGAAACCTGGCGCCCTCAGACCTCGAAACCTCGTCGCTCCAACCCTCCAAGGGGCGGCAACCCCGCTGCTCCGCGCCCGGCGACATGCAGACGCCTTGCCCTCCGACGCCAAGCCTCATCTGCCAGCCCGAGTAACCAACCTCTGCGAGCGAGCACGGGGCGGCGGGGGCCAGGGGGACCGGTAGGAGGTCTTCTTGCCGCGTCGGGTCGATCGTGGCCGCGATGCCCTTGGCTGAGATGAGGCCCCTCGCCCCGGCCACGGCGAGGGCTACCATGCCCCTAACCTGCGGGCAAAATAGCGGTGGCAGCAAGGGCTCATGTGTCATCATCGTTTTGCTTATATTCTAGCCGCAAATGCGACTTGTTTGATTCGTTGCTGTATCAACAAGACCATGAAACTATATCGAACAGGTATTGTAGTCTTTCAGGAGTTGCATGCATGTTTTGCCAAAAACCCTGGCGCCCACGGTAGGGTTCTTTTCTCGGTTAGTGACGGAGTCGACGCACCCTCACCTGCTGGCTCATAAATGCGTCGCCGTTGATAGAGAGGCAGACGTAGTCCATGCCACCGGCGCCTGCGTCGCCTCCTTGCGATGATGACGATGATGATTGGATTACCTCCATCGCGTAGAAGCGGTAAAGGCGGCGCAGGGAGGACGGGCTGTGGGGCAGCGCGCTCGCGCTGAAGTTGTGCCAAAGGGGACACCGCCGCCGCGTGCCGTCGTGTTCGCCGTTGCAGTGTCCGAACGGCCTGAGACCCCGCGCTCGGAGGCGTCTCAGCAGGGGGATGAGGTTCTCCTGTCCCCGGGGTGGCCCTTCCCAAGGGCCCTCCGCCGTCTCGTCGAGCATCCAGGCCGGCAGGAGGTACTCGTACCGCCGTCTCTTTGCATGGATCTGTTAAGGGTTCCGACATTCGCGTGAGCCAAGTGTAGGTACTTCGATTCGATAACAGTGCTGGCTGCAACTTGAAGAGTGGATGCGCAGAATATGCACATCAGAAGCGGTGTGGTCAATAGCAAGGCTTGATTCCAGACATCGCGACATATCAGCGCCCCCCCCCCGCTTTGCTCTATCCTCTTGCTTACGCTCATTGGACACCGGCCTGTCATGTTCTTTTACGTGATGCTTCCTGCGTCGTCTACACGGTTACACAGACGAAGCCGGCATGACAGAAGGGAGGGGATCCGTCGAGTATTGCGCGACAGCCCCAAAACAAATGGATTCCTCAAATGTTGCAACATACGACAAAGAGAGTAAGGCTGCCAAGCACAACATACCTCCGCGTGGAACGTCGAAGGCACAGCCATCCGCCCCAGGAGCCGAATCGCTCCCCTCGCGTTCCCGTCGCTGTTGTCGAGGGCAGCGTTGGTGTCATCGAGCCACTTTCGTATACCCTCCAGGGGTACCGTCGTCGGTGCCTTGAGGCAGATGGTATCAGCTCTGGTTGCGGTGGTTCAGGGACGGGGTTCATTGGCGGGGGGGTAGAGAATAAGTTGGCGGCTTGGTGTGTCAGCGGAAACTGCTGTACTGCTGTTGTTGTTGGTTGTTTGTAGCATCAGAGGCTCCGAGGCATGTGGGGGGGGGGGGGC